ATCGTGATCACGCCAAAATCGCAAAAAAAAGGTCAAAATCGTTAAAAAATCACGATCAACAAATCCTGGACACCCTAAGACCAGTATAAATTCCTCCTTTATCATTGAAAGTTATCGCAAAAGATTCTATTAAAATAATATGTTCGGAAGATAACGTCTTGAGAGATTTTTTATGATCATGAAAATTAGTTGATTTACTTTATTGCTGCAAAATATTTAATAACATTACTCGATGTTTGTTATTATATATTTTTTTCTTATGTAAAAAGAAAAATTTTTTACATTTAAATGAAAGAGTGTAAATATACTGTATATGGTCGGGAAATATAGCGTATATAATCAATATTACCGATTCTTGTTTTTTAAAAGAAGTATTCACGTGTTTTTATTTCCAATAAACGAGGTTTTTGAAAATAAACAAAAGATCTGGTCTGATTAATTAATATCAGTATTAATGAGGTATATTTTGTAATATTTATGCGTAAACGTTTTCAAACATTATCAAAAAAGATAATTAATATAATTAATCAACGTAATAAAAGTTTAATTGCGCAAACATTACTAACTTCATTGATTCCTCAGATTTTCGACAATACAGAAAGGTACGTCATAAATGTATAATTTATTTTTAACAAAATATTAAACTATATACTTGCTAATCAAAAAAAAAAAAAAAATTTCTCGTTTAATTTTTCGATTTCTCATTACTATTATTTTACACGAATTATGTTAACATAAATAAGAAATACATTTACATTTTTCTTTGATGAGATATATTGTATATTGCATTCTTTATCTACATTGGTATCAACATTACGTAACTTAAAACTCAATTTTTTACAAAAAATATTTAGTTATTGTGTATTTTTTTTTTGATTCATTGTATAATGATTTTATTATTTTTTTTAGGAAAATTGAGAACAGTTATTATCCTCAATTATAAAATCTTATATGAAACTAATGTTTAATCCCAAGCCGATAACAGGTTTAAGTCCACTCCCTTAATAATTTTCGTAATTTTTTTTGTATCATGAAGCGATACAAATTTTTGTCGAAGAAAAAAAATTACAAATATTTATTGGGTATGCATATTCTTGTTTTAATAAGATCTTATTTAAAAAAAGAAAATTCCCCACACATTTTCTTTTTGTTGCATGTTTTGCATATTACTTTCATTTCATTCCATTTTTATTATGGAATTTTATCAGCTGCTAATTATATTATATCACGAAAAAACTTAGTCCAAAAAAGAAAAGCTTTTCTCTAAATCTATGCATCATTTGCAAAATAATCCGAGGTGGAATTTCTAGTATTAAAATATATTACATACCCATTTAATGAGACATTTATCTAAACCTCACTGTACATTTTATTATTTAATAAATTGGAGATTCTTTTAGTTACGATCGACATGCTTAGTAAACGAAAATTTTAAAAAGGGAAAGACTGAAAGGAAACAAAGATTTAGCTTTTTTTATTTTTAACTATTGTTACGCTGAATGTAATTTCGCCCGAAAACTCTATGTAAATCACTTTCGAAGGTCATTTGCCAGGTGTCAAAGATGCCTAATTATTATTTTTTTATAACTATGAGCTGGAAATCCTTAAACTGCTAACATTCCACGCTCGCCCTTATTATATCTTGCATACATACACATTGAAATCCTTCCTTTAACCCTTTAGCGATATTTTCGATTTCGCCGTTTTAACTTTTTCTTATTATTTTATTATTCAATTTTTCTTTATTGTTCGTAATTGCGTAGTTTTAATTAATTATTGATTGGCATTTACTTAGTTTATATATTGACATTGCGAAATTTAGAGCGCCGACGTTGAGGCAACACTGATTAATTTGATATTATTACTTCATTTTTATTCAATAAAAACCTTCTGCTTACAAAATTGTTTATAAATACATAAACGAAAGAACTGAACTATCTTCAAAAATTCTTACAATTGATTCAAGATGCAGAATGATGTACCTCAATAAATGATTCGAAAGCTAATAAATAAATAATAAGTAAATAAGGTGTAATAATCATTTGAGGATAAACTAAAGATTATTGATAAATGGGTTTAAGGTAATAAATCCTTTTAATCAATGATTCTAAAAAAAATGAAAATTACATAAACCGAAAAATGAAGCACTTCCGAGATTTAACAATTGAAAAATGTTGATTAATCAATCTACTTTTTAACTCGGTCATCTCATCTCTACAATCGAACAATATTCACACAGAAACGTGCGAAAATTTCAAAATGTAATCATAAGCGAAAATCAAACTGGTAAAGAATTTTAAGATACGTGTAACAAAAATTGAGTATATCTTTTTTTTTTGTACCGGTCTATAATTTAAAAGGAATCCCTTTCAATCTTTTTTTTTTTCAGAAAAATCCAACTCTTTCTACCTCGAAATCAAAATTAAAAAATAGTCGTTTTTAAATAGGTCAATTCGCCATAAACTTAGTGTTAGTTCACGAAATAAGGTTGATCCCACTTTTATTAATAACATTACGAAATAGAATTTGACCTTAAAGAAAAAGTCCACCATATCGATTAAATTATGACTCTGATCCTCTAAAAGTTCCCAAGGATGGCTTTGAAAAACAATAGACAACTCGTTATTATTGCTGTAGAAGGATACGAAATTCATAGTATTGTGATATCAGGATTCTTTTTCCTAAATGCATTGCAATATCCGATTTATAACAAGGTTAAGGCAACGACGTTTCAAAGTGATAATAAAATTTACAATCAATGGGTCCCAAAAAAATTATTAATGTTAATTTCCTAAAATCAAAGTGCGTTTAACACGAGCAAATTGTAAGGCAAATTGTTGAGCAAAAATTTAAAAATGAAAATGTTGAAAACTAAAATTTTGAATCTCACCGAACGTCTATCAATTTGATGACCCACTTCATGCATCACTTCTTCTCGTATCTAAATTCATATTAAATATAATTAATACAACATTTGACCTTATAAACAAAGAATTAAAAACAAAATTAGAACTTTTAAATTTATTAAACGCACAATAGAGAAATTTGGTTATCCTCTCTTATATCCTATTATGGAGAAGAGTGTGGCAATAATTGTAGGTCTTTCTTTTGTATTTTCCAAATTTCTTAATACATCTTGTACTTTTTTGCCTTAAACGAGTTAAAAAATCCAATAGTTGGCGCTGCAGGAAAATCGTAAAATCAAAAAAACAATTTAGATTTATAGGAATAATTTCAAAAAAAAACCATACTATCTTTTATTTCAAATATTGTCTCAGATAATAAGAACCTAAAAAAGTGAAAATACCTCCATTCGTTGCCGCAATAAAAAACAGATTTTCTTTTTATTTTCTATCAAGTAACTGGAGCAGTAAATATAATAAATTAATGACGAAAAATACGCTTATGAAGATTGCAACTGAAAATATCGCCTAATAAAAGTTATATTTATCAAATAGCAAACTTGTCCTAATATCGCTAAAATAAAAATACCCTACACTTGCACCAATTGATGACGCAGTATAAACTTTAAATGAAGTAAAATATCCTTAAATAAACTTATATATATAATTAAAATATAAATTATTAATGTTTATTAAATTGAAAAATTTAGAATAAATAAATTATGTTATATAAGAAATTTATATTCATAAAAAATAATAAAAATTGTGTAGTTATATTAAATGAGTTGATGAGGGCAAGATATTTATTAGACTTACGATTTTATTCGGAAGTACGATATAGACATTTTCAGCATATATAAATTGAATCTTAAGCTCGATTAACAATAAACTTTGATTTCTTAGAGATTTACACGTGACCTCAAACATTTGACCTGTTGTTATTTTAAATGTTACACAAATTATATACAGTTTTGTTAGGCGAAGTTGTGGCTGAGTTATCGGCGCTGCGTCTAAGGTTATCAAGAATAATTGCAAAAGATTATATCCCTATTGCTACATTGTAAACAACAATTATGCATTTTATTATAATTATAGGTTCTAAACGAATGGTTTCTTTCTGCGATAGAAGCATTGATAATAGGAGGTTTAAAATAATTTATTTAATACATTTTATTTTAAACCTTCAGCCATTACCCGATATATCCTTTTTTTTCTCCGCCAATTTTAAACAAAATATTTATAACCTGTAATTTTCCAGGTGATTATAAGATAACAAAATTGTTTACTCTAAGCGAAAATTTGCCACTTCAAAATTTACAATTCTAATTGTACAAAATATTTTTATCTCGATCACTCGCAATACGATTTCTCCAATTGATGATTGATTAGATGTATGATTGAATGTATCGGTGAAAATATTTGTAAGACAAGTTTCTTTTTGGAGTTTTGTAAGTGGCGAATTATTAGTTTTTAAGGCTTAAAATTAAATATTTAAATCTCTTAAAAATTGTAACCATTTACTTACGTCAACCTTAGTGTTTGTTTTCTTTAACAATTGTCCAAAAAATTTTATCCATTAATTAAACATTTGCACGCGAGAATCCTATGGCGCCGTCCGACTCGTAATAAAAATGCAAAGAAGCTGTTCAGGAATTTATTGAGGCTGATGTAACAACATTACACCCTATAACAAGTCGTACTTTTGGTGTGTAAGTAATTGATCAGACCATTGATCAAAATTAGGCTAGGCGTGGCTTGTCTCTGCGGTTCAGCATATGAATAACAAATATGTTTGAGATTTATCTTAGCTTAGCTTCACGTTCATATCGTGACTCACCTGTTTCTGCTCATGCGTCAGCTATTACGAAAACATATAAATACGCGTCCTAAAAGCTTGCGATTTCCATAACTCAGAAATAAAAATATTATAAACATTGAGTTTAAAATCATTATTATAACATCATGAAAAATCTTATTTTAATCCTTTTCATCGCCGTTTTAACCTTCAGCAGTGTCGTTTTTACTGCTCCTACCAAAATGGAAAAAAATGAAAACTTGGCGAGAAGACAAATATCATGCGTAAAAAGCCCTTCAGGGGAAATGACATGCACTCCACCGCCGCCAATCCAATGTACGTCCAGTGGTTGTATTGGATAAGTTGGCAACATATAAAAGTTTTAAGGAGGCTCATTTTAATATATTAGTTTCATTTTTTCAACTTTGTTTGTTTTGTTTTTCTCCAATTGTTTTCAAATCTGTAAATGGGTTTAAAGTATTCTACAAATTACCCATTATTTTTTTTTTTGATGTCTCCTGTTTAAATAATAAAAGAAATTAATCTGGGATTTAATAAATGCGATTTTTTTTTTGTTGAGTTCACATATTTTTTTAGTTCAGCCAAATTTTATTCGAAAGAAATGAATCGAATCTCTTTTTTAACTTGGGATTCCTCGTATGTCAACAAATGGTCAAATGCCCTAGTTTTTATAATTTTTTTTTAAAAAAAATAAAAATATGATACTTTAGCGTCAGCATAATCAAATACTTTTGTTAAACAAATATAAATGTCAAGTCTATGAAATATGAGCATTGAGTCGTCTCCATTACTATCGTTTGAGAAATCACCATTGAGACATAGAAAGTATTATTACAAACATCTGAAAAAAATTACCCCCTCGTTAATTTAACGTTAAAAAATCTTTAGATTGAATTTTTTTAAGGAAAATTTAGAGATGAAGTCAGGTGACAAACGGTTGAGTAAAAATATAAATGACTGGTAATATTTATTTAGATAGACCGAATTATAGTTGCGGGGCAAAACCCTAAACCCATTTTGGCAAAAGTCGAAACTTTTCAGAATTTGTTTCGACAGTTTCGACGGGTTTCGACGGGTTTCGACGGGTTTCGATGGGTTTCGATGAGTCTTGAAAGTTTCGACGGTTTTGATAACAACTTTGCGAATTCTAATTAAATTTGACGGGTTTTAACAGGTTTATC